CTTCTTCTTCTTCTTCTTCTTCTTCTCCTCCTTCGTCCTCATCTTCCTCCTCCTCCCCTCTCAGCTCATCCTCTCCGTTGTCCAGTCCTTCCACAGCCCTCCTGACCACTTTGTCCCCCTCCCCTTCCCCCTCCTCCTCCTCCTCCGCGCCACCATCCTCGTCGCCGTCATCACCATCACTGCCGCCTGCATGTATCCCAGCAAGAGCTCGCCGTCGGCCTAAACCCACCTGCACATGGCACATGGCACAGCACGCATGGCATGACTTGCGGTTTGCGTGTCCTAATACATATATATATGTGTGTGTGTATATATGTGTGTATATATGTGTATATATATATGTATATATATGTGTATATATATACTTATATATACTTATATATACTATATATAGTAGTAGTATATGATGTGTGAAACAGGGGGGTGTATCTTCGCCCGTGGCAGCTACCCTGCGAAACCCTGCCTTCCCCGGTATTTCGGGGCACCCTCATCCAGTCACCCTAGTCAACTTCTCAGTGGATCGCTCAGGTTCCGCACCCACCACCAGCATCCAACGGAATCTGCCGGGTCGACAGCGGCGCAACTCCATTCCTGGTCGGCTCGCAGGTTAACTTTATCCCAGGTCACCACCGTCCATCAACTAGGGGCGCAATGCCTTCCACCATCGGAAGGACTTTTGACCCTAAGGGGTATCGATCCCGGGATCTCCCGGGGGCAATGGTCGCGCCTTACCAGTGGTGCCAAACCCTAGTATAATAATAATATATACTACTAGTACTAGTATATATAAATATATATATTTATATACATACTTGTCTCATAATCTCCTACACCTAGGGTTCGCACGGCAAAAACTGCAGCTGGATCCAGAAAAAACGGATTGGAGGATGACACAGCAAAATGGACCAGGGTGGCGGGTAGGCGGGGTGGGCAAGAAAACGACTTGAATGCGAACTGTAATTCCAAACTAAAGTTCAGTGCAAATGGATGTGGTGCTAGAAGCTTTGGAGCGAAAAAGCGCCCATTGGCCCATGGGAACTTTGACCCACGGGAACTTTGACCCACGGGTCACATCAAGCCTTAGCTATGAGCCAGCCGTCGAACACGCCTTGGAACCAATAGATCAAATGCAATGCGAACCAAACGAGCAAGCAATGAATGATGTACGGCCTTGTTGCCGTACATGGAAAGAAGGACGTACGACAGGATTGCATATGCCGTACCGGCACTCGGAACTCCGCTGCGGAGGATTCCTCAAAGTCTCTCGGACCACCGACGGGAAAGCCCAAACTCCAGGGGGGGTGCCGACCTGGCCCGTGGGCGGAGGTGGCGGCGGCGACGGGGACAGCGGCGGGACGCCTGCGCCCTGCGCTACTGCTACAAGCCTTGCTACCGGCGCCGCTCCGCTTGCTACTGCCGATATCGGCGGCGCCCAGTACATTTTCCAGGTAGTCCTGCAAATCCTCTTCCAGCACGTCGCTGCTGCAGCCGTCGCCGCCATCACCGTCGTCGTCACCGTCGCTGTCTGCATCAGCGCGCCGGGGGGCCCGCAGCCGCGGTTGATGTTGGGACAGAGACCGCCACGGTTTCTGATGCGGCGACTTGCCGCGAGCGCCGTGGGACCGGCTGAGGCCGTGATTGGTGATCCGCACGCCGCCTATTTGCACATAGGCGGTTTCGAACCCCTAATTATGAGGAGCAGGTGGCGATAGGGAGGAGCGAGGAGAGGGTTCGTTGCGCAAGTGGAAGTTCAACAGTGAAAAAGGTGGATGGACAACCAGTATCCCGTTGAGTTATAGTGTAGTCTTTTGAGGTATTCAAGGATGGACGATTGGATTTCCCCTTGGGACTTAGGGTTCAAGAGTGTCAAATGTGAGCGTTAGCATTTGCGAAGCTTGAGCTGAGAGGTCCTCAACGGGACGAACCTGCTCTGCCATTGCAGGGAACTCCTGCGACTCGCCAACCACAAAAGCTGTATGCTTCTTTTTCCGCCTCCCCATTCTAGTAGTCCTTGAATTTAAAGGGAGAAGTGCGCTACCAGGGCTCTCAACCCTTAAAGCCAGACGGATAAGCGTTAGGGAGTCGATAGGGGAGACGATAATAGCATACTACCTTACAAGTTTTCACAACGAAGTGTGAACGCTCTGGTATTTTCAGAAGTACTGGATACGGTGAAGGTGGTTGCTAAGGTTGTACGGGTCCAAAGTGGGACGAAGGTTGCATTTGGTGGGAGAGGAAGTGTGGAAGGTATGTTTTTATTACAGAGACTTAAGGTGCTTGATAGAGATTTGAGGCGTTTATTTGGCCAGGATCAGGCCCAATCTTGCCATCGTTCGGAGACAGTCGGTGTGTAGGCGCACCGCTTCTCCCACCCGGAGAGGCATCGTCATTCCCCCCCCAGTCGCGGTGCGCCTAGCTTCCCTCCTGATCGCTATCGGGCGAGGCCCATTCGGAAGAGATAGTGGTCACAGGGGGGTTGCAAGTACAGCAAGTGGGAGATACAGAGAGGGGGTGCTGAAAGGGCAGGCAACGGCATTGGTAGACTTTCTCTAGATCTCCAGGCAAGCAAATTTCCTGGAGGCTCCTGTGTCTACCTTCGCAATCTACATCTGGCAGCTTGCAGCAACTCGGCAAGCAGCACCAGGTTGAGGGCGGGGAAAGCCCCGAAAGAAATCCGGATGTGTAGGGGATCACGCGCGGATAATCTATCCGGAATCCGCGGATAATCCCGCACTCATGGCCGTGCATGCAAGGGCTTCACGGCAGGCAGAACACCCTTTAAGTCGCGCAGCAGGGTCACGACGGGAATGAGAACCGGGGTGTTGGCGGCAGTCCATCGCAGATAGCGACTCGGCGCCAACAATTTGTTCTACTTTAGGGCCACAGCATCCGGCTCAGCATGACCCTGCCGGATGAGAATCTGGTGATAAGTGAGCCATAACCGTTGACCGGCAAATCTCCCAAGAACTCCCGCAATACATCGCTACATTCTAAGGATTCTTTCGAATCAGCAGGTTGTAGGTGCTGCAAAGGTTAAAGATGGCCCATGCACAAAGGCGGCGCATGGCAGACCCTTGGGTCCCAGCTTGGCGAGATCGTCATAGCCGCGGCTGAAAACGCGAACCCGAGCATTACGCAACAGCTTGCGCAAATCATTTGGATTCCTTGCTTTCGATTAGCCCACCCACCCACCCATTGATTATTCAGCGAATTATAACTCCAGCGTTTATGCAAATCCTGGGAACCGGTAAATTACCCGTACTTCACACCGTACTTGGCCCTTCGTTGTCGGCGGTGAAGCGGGCGGCACAGGAAGGGGAACAGTGGTTCATACTCTAGATGCTGCCCTCGTTGGTGGTGTGCGCCCATCTACGTTGGCTGTGTACGGTGGACGAGCGCTTAGGCTTCAGTTATGGCCTTTCTGAAGTTGATAGTTGTTGACAGTTTTTCAGCCTGTGCTCCGAAACCTTGAGCTGGTCTAAATGGATCTATACATGCAGCGTTTTTTCGGCGATCATATGGAAGTGCGATTAAGTTATGATGCACCCTGATATTTGTGGGAAGGTTGAAGGTCCACTTGACAGGCAATCCTTGTGGAAACAGGACGTGGACAAAGAAAAACATGACATGTATAAGTATGGATCCACGACATGTGGTTGATGCAGGGGTATCTTGTGCGGCCTGCTGCAAGGTTGCACCGGGCAAGCTGCTGCGCTGCGGGGCCTGCAACAGTGCATGGTACTGTAACCAGGAATGCCAGCGAAAGCACTTTGAGGAGCACAAAGCATTGTGCCGCGCATTGTGGCTATTCCATTCCTAGCAGGTGGGTCTAGTATGCGTTTCTTGCCGAAGCCCCCGCTCGGCAACGTAAGAGTGCCCAAACTAAAGCGGAATCCCTGGAATCACCTCAATGTGTACAAGTATGTTTGGTTGACCTCCTGGCCGTAACTGCTGGCAATGTTGCTTGCGTGTCGAGCTTGCGACGTCGAAGTTTAACTTGTCCGTAACTTAAGTTTTCAAGGGCCCTCGCGTAAAAGTTGTTGTAACACCACTGCGTCCGTTTGCAGAAGGACTTGCCTTTGGTATCCTGGCCGCGCACTGCACACGAGTTCTATATGCAGGTAGTCGGTTACGTATTGTGTTGAGAGGATCACCATGCCTGTGGTCTGCGCAAGATCCTAAAAATCCTACAGGAGTACCTAGTGCACAACCTTGCACGCATTCTGGGACGTCTACGTATCTCGACATGACCGTCAGAAGTCTTCGAAGTCCCCGGCGGCTCCCGTAAGCCGCAAAGGGCAAGCCGCAAAACGCACGAACCACTATCACAACCTGTTATGCCCTATATGCAACATTATTTTCCTTCCAATATGATCATAACTCCAGACCAGGTGCCTCATGGATATGTGCCCCCGAGCCGAATCTTATAGTTTGCGTTTTTGATTCACACATGTTCACACTTTTCCACAGCAATCATCGAGGGTTTCTTGCGAAGCAGCTGGCCGCGGTCATTGCGGTTCATTGTAGGGTGATCGCAATGACCACGCCCAGCTGCTGCCGTACGGTGGCGAAACTGGCTTGCCGTGCATAACGTGCACGACGGAAAATGGTAGTGTGCACACCGCAGTCTGAAGGAAAGGCGGCACCAGCATGTGTGCGTATGTGGAAGTGTTATGTGGGTGGGTGGCAGTGGGGATATGGACAGCTTGTTCAGGCAGCCGGACGCACATCAAGGCGTGAGAACCTCCTAGACTGCCTGAGGGGCCGTATAAACTTTCCTTCGCTAGGAACGGTCGTCCCAGATGACGCGGGACAATGTCTACGCCGTAGGAACGCCAATAGCTCTGTTTTCAGGCTTGCAAAAACACCTCTATTCAGTAGGCAACTTTTGCTCCGAGATTGTAAGATATAACGCCATCAGGTCTGGGCAGCGAACCGTGTAGAAGCGGTAATAGTTAGTCGATTTTCGATTATCTCCATACTCCTAACTTGCGAGCTGCATTGCGCCTTACGTTATACAGTTACTTATGCTCGGAGCGTGGTCACCACTTCTTGTTACAAGCAACTAAAGAACGCGTCTTGCAGCCGCCATAGGGAACCAAAGCATGATTCCATAAGTACGACAGACGTAACAAAGCCCAGCGGTTAACGCAGCAAATTACGAAGACTCTTGATCTAACGATAGTTTGATATTGATAAATACCGATTGGTATTGGAGGTTTACAGATATCCTTAGGCGTACCTCTGGTACGGATGACCGTTGGACCGGTAAGCCAAGGGCTGCCTTAGCAGCGTTACAAGAGAGGTCTGACCGGAATATCGTCTAATTTACAACACAATATATCTCCATATCTTTATTCAAACTCTTTGTGTATATTTCAGGGTTATTTCATTTCGATTTTATTTGTAGTTGCGCGCCATGAAACAATATCATGTTACTTTGGCGAAGCATCGTGCTCGGCCTTCGCCGATGCTAACATCCTGTCCCGTCCGCACACCGCCTGTAAGATCGCCTGTCAGAGCTGCGTCGCCATGGTTGCCACTTTCCTTAACTTTAGCAGCTGCTTCTTCAAGCACAACATTCTCCACAAGCGCCTATGTCACCAAGGAGGCGCGGCGGACAGCGTTTGGACTTGCCGAGGAGCAGGTGCGCTTTCTCCTCGACCGAGGCTGAGCAACGGGATGAGCGAAGAGTGCCCCTAAATTTGAAGGATGACTAAAGGTACCACGATGTCTGTTTTTCATCCTCTACACCTTCGCCAACTCCCCCAGACCTCTTGTCAACCTATATTTGTTCACGTCTACCTGCGTGCATGTCCTCCATTGTCCCCTATTCTGTGTCACCACTGCCACCCACCCACACACCACAAAACACCACCCGCCCACCTCTACCAAACCGTCCACACAACTCCATGATTCCTTAAGAGGAACAACATCTCACCCTTCGGCCTTTTTCTTGATTTCGCGTTCAAACGTGCGTTTCTACTACACATCATTCGTACGACAGGTTCAAGAAGCTGATGCGCCGGTATCAGGCAATCTCCCATCTTGGCTTCGTGGAACCGTCGTTATCAACGGCTGTGGCGACTATCGTGGCATGGAGCATCTATTTGACGGTTTCGCCTGCCTCACCCGCATTCACTTAGACGGCCTGACGGGGCGTGCGACTGCCAGCCAGCGTTTCCTGGACACGGACGCGTACAGGTGAGTGCTTTCAATCGGGTTTATGAACGGAACGCCTCGACTGGTGTGTTATTGCGATCTGGGTCACGGCTCGCTCGTTATCTTCGGGGCCACACACAGGAGCTTCCGGGAAACGGGTCGCATGAAGTACCGCGAGTTCCAGACGCCGGTACCCGCCGACGGACCCGTGGGTCGCGCCCAGGCCGTGCTGGAGAATATCACGGCCCTGGTGGGTAGCTATTCCCGGGGGGGGGGTAAGCAGTTGCGGGTGTCCACACGATGTCCCCTGTACACCTGCACGCCACGTGCAGGTCGTGCATAGCATGCATGTTTAGTTGTGGCGTGTTTCGTATTTCTCCCCCCTCCCCCCCACTCGCTCGTGTTTCGTATGTCCCTACCTCTCCCCCGCACACCCTTCACGACGCAGATGAGCAAGGGCCGGGCCTTCACTGACAACGCATCTGTCAACCTCATCCCGCTTCGAGGAAATAGATTGTTGGCGCTTAGCGGTGAGTGTACGGCATACCGTAGGTGTACGACGTACTTTGCATCGTAACAAGTGCTGTTACACTGTATCCGAAACACGGTATGCTTGCACCTCTAGCTTGCTTTCTCCTGCTGTGTGCACGTAATACTACACTAACATGTTCCTGATGTGTTTGCTACGTCATGTGTTTGTTGATCGAATGCGATATTAATGACAAGCCGTTGATCAAATCGTTGACAAGCTATTGATCAAATCGAGCACACACTTACATACCTACAAATACACACATACACAGACACGTTTCTCTCTCACCCGGCGCTGCTTCCCCAATGACTCCGGGGCCGGGGTGCAAATATCTGACCCGCCTCAGAGAGTCGTAGCGCTGCTTACATCGTGGATCCAGCCACCCTCGCAACCGTACGGCAGGTGGAGTACGACGACGATTTGCCGGGTGACCTGACGACAGCCCACCCCAAGGTGGCACCCGACGGCTCCATCATCAACTTTACTCGCAGTTTACCGTTGGGCGGTTACCACGTGTATCGGCAGGATCCTGTAACCCTGAGACGCACGCGGATTGCTTTCATAGGGTACGGAAAATGTACGGCAGATATTTGGTGATTGTAGTAGATAGTAGATGGTTAACGTCGTGGTGCGAGGTTATACATGTTTGTATGTATGTGCGCCTGTCTCTGTCTGTCTGTCTGTCTGTCTCATCCTGCACCGCATTCGCCGCCACTTCACTGTTTCCTGCTACGTTCTGTACATCTTTAACATCCCCCTAAATTCCTTAAATGCTTTCCCACAAAACAATTCCAATTCCCCCCGATTCCCGAAATCCCCCCAAACATGATCCCCCCCCATGCGTCCTATGCATTCCCTTCGCTCCCTTCCATCTCTATTTTCATTTTCCGAATCTCCTTTCCAAACCCTCCTTTAAAGCCCTGGAACTACCTAGCTCCCACGTTCTTCTCCTCCGCACCCGCGCCTGCTTACCCCCTACCCCCCTCCCTCCCTGCCGTACAGCGACCGCGACCCGGTGGCCCCCTGCTGGGTTCACGACATGGCCATCACCTCCTCCTCCCTCGTGGTCGTGGAGCCCCCGCTATTCTTTAATATGGCCTCACTAATTATCGGGACGAAGAGGCCGTACGCCTTCATGGACTGGAAGCCGGAGGTGGGATCGGGCAAGCTGCCTGGCGGGTGTGTGTGTATGTATGTATGTATGTTTATGTCTTCTGTTATGCATCGATCCGGGCCTGGCGCTGGCCAGGGGCACCTAGCCGTTTAGTACCCCAATAGGAACATAGGTGTGTATGTATGTATGTACGTACGTGTGTGTGTGTTGCCCATATGTATGTGTGCCGTCGTATCTCTCTGCACCACGTGTTGTCATGTCTGGTGACTGACTGACTGACTGACGTGCATGTACGTGGCTCTTCCCCACGAAACCCCGCCTCCAGCCCTCGCTCGCCTCCTCTTTCCGCCCGTCCTCTGCTATCCTTTCTTTTCCGCTTCCTTCCTCTTATCTCACTCCTTTCCCCCACACACTCACCACCCCTTTTTCGCGCTCTGTTTTGTTGTTATTTTTTCGCTGTCCCGAATCCCCCCCCTTCCCCCCCTTCCCCCCCGTCCACGTGCCGCCCTGACACGGACCCCAGGCCGGCAGCCGGGTCCACGTCATCGCATTGGATGGCTCCGGAGTGAGTCGGTTGGGTTGGTTTCGGTGGTTTCGGAGTGCTCGATGGTTTCCAGGCATGGTGGAGGTTTCGGGACTTGATATTCTTGGTTTCGGAGCGCGGCCGTTCCCGTCGTATATGTACGGGAAAGCCGTGTACATGCACGGTGTTGCGATGCCCCAATCCTAGACGTCTTTATTATGCCGTACTTTGGCACTCTTATTTGCACTCGGCTTCTAAATCTGCCCTTGAAAACGTCTTTTCTTAAGGTTGGAGCAATCTAGAAGCCATGAAGTAAATTTTATTTTAAGTCGTACTCCAATTATTTTGTTGCTTTATGTTTATCGAATCCAATTTTTAATTCCTTTTTTGATTCGGGTTTTTCTTAATTCACTCTAAATTCGCTCAGAAAAAGTAAATTTCTTGATGGCCTCCAGGTGGTGACCCACACGGCCCCCCCGTTCTTCACTTTCCACCTCGGCAACGCCTTCGAGCGCCCGTCTGGAACCAGCTCCGGAACCGAAATTTGCGTGGATTTTAGTGTGTACGATGACCCTGAGATCATTAACGATCTGTCCCTGGATCGTCTTAATGCCTTCCCGGGCAAAGGTAGGAGATGTATGCATCGATGGTGGGTGGTTGGCTGCTGGATGGTGGATGGTGGTCGGGGCGCTGGGGCTGCTGGTTCGTGTGTAGTGCGGCAGCCCTTGGATGAGACTTCATAAGGCCCATCCGACCCCGTTCCAGCAGTTGGCGCTTTTGAGACGCCGGCAGTTAAACCCCAACTAAGATTGATGTGCCTGCTATGTTTGACAACTTCCCTTCTACGCAGAAAATTGCAACATTTCTCTAAGACCTTGACATGGGCGCTTCTGTGTGTATGGGGGGGCCAGTTTCTCTAACTCCTCCCACATTCCCATTCCACATCATTCCCACAACCCGACTCCTTTCAAATATCAAACCCATGTTACACACGCACCATTCGTACAGACGTTACATTCTTAATGTGTGTGTGTGTGTGTGTGTTTCGCCGTCTGCCCTCGCCCTCGCCATCCACCCCCCACCCATCCCGCATGACTTAAACATTGAAGACGTATCACCCAGCCGGCTGAGGAGACTGGTCATTCCGCTGCGGGATGCTGCCAGCCGACCGGTGGGTCCATCGGCATTGGCGGCTCCCGTGCCGCTGCTTACCGACGAGGACGCGTACGGCAATTTTTTCGAGTTCCCGGCCATCAACCCACGGTAAGGTCTTGAAAGGGTGAGGTAGCGGATTTGCGCAACGTCATTTCCGTACCATAGTTTTACACCTGTACGATGGGTCCTTGTACAGGTGTCGTACTGGTTCTGGTGTCTGGGGGATTGCAGGAAAACCGATGGAAGGAGTAGAAGGCGGAAGGACGGGGAGATGGACCTGTCTGGCCGTAACTTTATGTGAACGGTTTTATGTGACAGCTTAACTAATGCGATAAGGCGCATTATATGTGATGGCGTTATATTTTGGTGTATTATTGTGTAGACTGTGGAGTCCCCGCTTGGTGTTCATTAATGAGTCTGTCGCCCTTCATTCATTCATTCATTCATTCATTCCTCTTGCTGCCTTTCTGCCTTGGACTCTGTAGATTCCAGGGGAAGCCGTACAGGTACATGTACGGCACCGCTGCCATACGACCGACCAATATGGGCAACGCGCTGGCTCGTCACGACGTGGAAAAAGGGAGCAGTATTGTGTGTTGCATACCGGGAAGCATGCCAGGTGGGTTTTAGGGTTTCCACCACTGTATGTACGTACCCTCGTCGGTCTCCTCCTGTTTCCGACGAACTTCTGTTTTTCCGGCGACGGGAGATATAGCTACCACCCGACGAAACCCCACCCGCAGGGGAGCCCATTTTTGTGCCGCGACCCGACGGGTCAGCCGAGGATGACGGAGTGCTGCTGGCCCTGAAGATCATGCCAGGCGGCAGAAGCGTATTGTGTGTGTATGACGCAGCGGATATGAGCGGGCTGGCGAACGTGGACTTGCCGTTTAACGTGTCGTACCGATTTCACGGCGCTTACGTGGCAGCGAAGGACTAAGCGTGCGTTTGGGGGCCTGGGTCCGCTTTGCGCCGATCGGCACAATGTGAACCGGAACTTGTGAGGAACAAGGTGACTTGTTGAATGAGTGGGAGGGTTATGTGCATTTCACGATGACAATTTAACGATATATAACAAAGAGGGGCGTTTTACCGTTTTATGTTTCCCGGCCGATCCTGTATTTTCAGGGTTTCTTGTGTTGCCAAACCAATTTGCGAAAATCACTTGATTGTGAACACGGCAGGTTGTGCGCGCATGAAAGCGGTGTAGGAAAAATAGTTTGCTGTCTGTGTATTCGTCTTGTTGCTTATGTGTGGGCTTCTGCTAAGTCCAAAAAAAGATAGACTATTTATTTATGTTGCGATTTTTCAAACCTTCTGTGCCTGTTGGAGTCTGGCAGTCTGCGTCGATGTAAAATGGTCGTGGGTGCGTTCCCCGTACCACCCTAATAATCAAGGGTCTGGCAGTCTGCGTCGATGTGACCATGAAATGCTGAGGAGCGGGGGCCCCGGGCGGCCAGGGGCTTTCTTGTATGCTTTTTATACTGATATTGAGGTACTCCTCGCAACTTTTGAGATTTTTGATGCTCTCTCCCGTTGACATGTGCAGCATGCCTTCCGCTACCGGGAAGTTGCTGTCACCAACCCTTGATCATCAAAATTGTTAACTTATTTGGTGATACTTGGTTACACTGTCATGCAAGGCTTATGACAAATATTTTTGCATTGATATACCACCTGGTGATACAGTCATTTAAAAGGCACACATCGACCGCCATGCAAAAAATGACATCAGGTGTTCGGAATTGCACAGCAACGCTACAGTGCATGGAACAATCAGAAGCAGCTGTGTAAGGACGCTAGGCCCATTGGCCCCTATGGCGACCAAGCATCTGATGGCTCATGGCTCTTACCAAAGGCAAACGGTTGAACCCAACCGACTGGAAGGACGAGCACCAAGCTGCTTTTGACGGCATCAAGCACGCGCTTGCAAACGCGCCCGTCCTTCATCTGCCTGATTTATCCAAACCCTTCGAGGTTATTACAGATGCAAGCATCTACGCCATTGGTGGTGTACACATGCAAGACGACCACCCAGTCGCATATACGCGTCGGGACCTGTAGGGACAGTGCAATCTTCAACGGCTGGAGGAATCCATCACATCCATCAATCATCTTTACGCGCCTCGGGGCCTATAGCGAGATATGGCCTAGCTGGGCAGGTCCACACGAGTCGCACTAGAGGGCCATCGCTGCACTCCGCGCTCGAAGGGGAATTGCGCAACATGGTGGACAACTGATTGGACTTCTCCTTTTCGATTAGCCCACCCGTTCACCCTATGCTCTTTGACTAGATTGATTTGTTTACTTGGAACCAGTAAACTACCGGTACTTTACACCATACGCGGCCCTTTGTCGTCGGCGGCGAAGCTGGCAGACCAGGAAGGGGAACAGTGGAACACACTTTAGATGCTGGCGTGCGGTTGTGAGCCCCTTGTGGCGTTGTTACCTCGAAGGTGTAAAGTTTACGGTCGTTACAGATCACGAACCTAACACCGCCATGCGCCGTAAGTCCCTGTTGTCTCGACGTGTGGCGCGGTGGTCGGAATTTCTGGAGTCTTTCGATTTCGAATGGCAGTATCGCGCGGGTCGTTGCAATCCTGCAGATCCGTTGTCTCGGCTTCCGGGACACATCGACGTTGAAACGACGAAGGTTATGACGATTAGTGCTCAACGGTTGGGAGAAATTTCTGCCTTCCGTGACACCACCTGCGAGCTGAAATGCTCTTTTTCTACGTTCGAGTCATCGGTACTTGATGGGTATGGTCTCGATCCTTGGTTTAAAATATCAGAAAACACGGTTGCATTATCGCAACGTGGTCAATTCTGGTACCGAGGAGATGCGTTGGTTGTGCCAGATCATGCTGATTTGCGTACTCCCGTTCTGCGTCTTTGTCATGACCATCCGTTGGCAGGCCATACGGGCGTGACCAAAATTCTTGATTTGGTGCGTCGTTCGTTTTGGTGGCCTAGGCTGCGTCAATCGGTCGCAGCGTACTGTCGTACGTGTGACAGCTGTCAGAGGGTAAAGGCAGATACCAGTCTCCCTGGTGGTTTGCTTCTTCCGCTGCCGATTCCTGATCAGAAGTGGTCTTTCGTGACCATGGATTTTATTACTGATCTGCCTCCCGATCCTGATGGCAATACTTCGATTTACGTGTTTGTGGACAAACTCACCAAGATGGTTCGGTTTGTGCCCTGTAAGGCCTCTGTTGACTCTGTCAAAGCGGCTGAAATCTTCGTCAACACCATTGTGTGTTCGTACGGTGTTCCGTCTGTCGTCATTTGCGACAGGGATCCTAAGTTTACCTCTGCATTTTTCGAGTCGCTTTTTGATGGATATCAAATCGACTTGCGTCGCAGTTCTGGTTATCATCCTCAAACGGATGGCCAAACAGAACGTGCAAATCGTGTTCTGGAGGATATGTTGCGTCATTTCGTTTCTGGCGATCAATCCTCATGGTCCCGTTATCTGCCGATGGCTGAGTTCGCCATGAACAATTCGTTGCATGAATCTACGCGAACTACTCCTTTTCGGTTGATGTACGGATATGAACCCCTAACTCCGGCTTCTCACCTGGTTCGCAAATTGGGGGAGGAGAGGGCCAAGACGCGCTTGCAAAGCGTGGCCAAACTGTCTAATCCGTTATCTGTTAAAAAGATCTACTTGGAAGTGGTAAGTTTGGGGCGAGCTAAGTCTTGCTTGGCTGCTGCTCGAGATCGGATGAAGAAATGGGCTGACAAAGGTCGCTCGGAACGAGGACTTTCTGTTGGTGATCGTGTACTCTTGAGTACGAAACATATGAGTATTAAAGGTGTGCGCAAATTGCTGCCTCGCTTTATCGGACCCTTTGTGGTTAAGGAAAAGATCAACGCGGTTGCGTATCGGTTGGATCTTCCTCCTGCGGTGCGGATACATGATGTATTTCATGTGTCACTCCTTCGTCCGTATCACGATGGTGGTCGCGTTCAACTACCTCCGCCACCTCAGATTGTTGAGGGTGACTTGGAGTTCGAAGTTGAGTCTATTCTGCTTCATAAAGAAGTGAAAGAAGGATGTCGACAAAAGCGTTTCTACCTAATGCGTTGGAAAGGTCAGGGCCCGGAATTTGATTCGTGGGAACCCGAAGCAAACCTAACTAACTGTGGCGATTTGTTGCGCGACTACTGGGCACGTCAATCTGACTCAGTTCCAACCTCGAAGTCCCAAGGTCAGGCGACACTTTCGGGTGGTGCTGACGCTTCTGGCTCGAAGCCGCATCGAGCCCCTCAGACTACTCGTCATGGCCGTGTGATCAAAAAGCCTTCGCGCTTTAATGCTTTTCTCAACCACTTGTCTGTCACCAGCGGGGTTCCGGAATCCCTGCTTTTTCCTCTCGTGTGGCGGTGAAGCCAAGGTTGGCTGGCTGTCGGGACGACCAGCCATTTAGGGGGGGAATGATGTAACGTGCAAGAGCAGTTACATAACTCTCAATGCTTCTCTTCAACGGGGTTCACGTAGCTATTCTCAAGACCTTCCTTTTGCGACGTCGTACATTAGTGCGGGTCATACACTGGATGGCTACATCTTCGCTGGTGTATCGCATCCGGTGTCTTTTGACACCACCATGACTGGTTGTGATAAGCATTAACGTAACATTGGCATCGAGACGGTGAAATTTTTCTTTCTGGGATTATGCTTTTGCGGCCATTTCTTGCATTTTATCGTCGGCCGGCTTTAGCTACCGTTCTTCAAACTTCTTCGTCTCCATTATCTTCCCCGAGAATGAATACTGGAGCTTCAGCCGATCTGGCGGTAAACACCGTTACTTCGCCGTTGGCGGCCTTGGCGCTTGCACCGGCGCCTACAGTCGCTTCGCCCGATCAGCCTTCTGGGTCTCAACCTCGGGCTGTCCCTATTCCTACTGCCGTGGATCCGGCGCCACTTCCTTCGCCGGTCAACGGTGACACTACAATGTCCGATTCACAGCCGGGCACTGTTACTCGGCGCCTGTGCCCCCTCGATCCTCCACAGCCCGACAGATGTCGCCTTGTTTCAGTGGACGCTGCGGCAAAGGTGCAATTGAGTTTGCCCGACTACATTTCTTTCCTGGTCGACGATTTGGTTGGCTACCTCGACTTGGCAGGCTCTTTCTGATTCGGCTGCCACCAATTGGGTCATCTTGAGCATGGGTCCGGCATCCCTAGTGACAGATCTTAGGATTTGGGTACAAGGCATTAGATCCATCGACTTCAAACTTCTTCGTCTCCATTATCTTCCCCGAGAATGAATACTGGAGCTTCAGCCGATCCGGCAGTAAACACCGTTACTTCACCGTTGGCAGCCTTGGCACTTGCACCGGCGCCTACGGTCGCTTCACCCAATCAGCCTTCTGGGTCTCAACCTCGGGCTGTCCCTATTCCTACTGCCGTGGATCCGGCGCCGCTTCCTTCGCCGGTCAACGGTGACACTACAATGTCCGATTCACAGCCGGGCACTGTTACTCAGCACCTGCACCCCTTCGATCCTCCGCAGCCCGACAGACGTCGCCTTGTTTCAGTGGACGCTGCAGCAAAGGTGCAATTGAGTTTGCCCGACTACATTTCTTTCCTGGTCGACGATTTGGTTGGCTACCTCGACTTGGCAGGCTATACTCTTTCTGATTCGGCTGCCACCAATTGGGTCGTCTTGAGTGTGGGTCCGGCGTCCGTAGTGACAGATCTTAGGATTTGGGTACAAGGCATTAGACCCATCGACTTCAAACTTCTTCGTCTCCATTATCTTCCCCGAGAATGGATACTGGAGCTTCAGCCGATCAGGCGGTAAACACCGTTACTTCGCTGTTGGCAGCCTTGGCGCTTGCACCGGCGCCTACGGTCGCTTCGCCCGATCAGCCTTCTGGGTCTCAACCTCGGGCTGTCCCTATTCCTACTGCCGTGGATCCGGTGCCGCTTCCTTCG